CTCCCCCCCTGCCTGCCTCCGGATTTTTTGTGGGATCCGTGTCCGAAGACAATCGCCCTTTAACTGGACTCGCAGCTGCCATTGCAGGAGCAAAACTGAGGAAAGTGTCACGGGTAAATACCTCTCCGGATCGCTGCTGTTCTGTGCATGCCTGGTTCTTCCTCGATTCCGCGAAACGCTGGATTTGTTGTGCGCTGGCTTTATGAATGCCGTTACTAATTCTGAGGGCTAAAAATTGCAGTCGTTCAGTCCCCCATACATGGTGAGAAGCGGTAGGCAGGTTCTGTAGGCCCACCGCCGGCGCTGGCGCCTGCCTTCTCCAGCGGCGCCTCCTTTCGGTCTGGGCTGGGTCGGAGGCTGAGCAGTGCAGTGTAAGCTTTGACCAGACGCACTTGGTGCGCGTCGGGGCGTCTAGCTGGTGAGTTCTGAGGCTTCCAGGTCTATTCCCTGTCACTGCCGCTCTAGCCCGACCTCCCTGTTACACTGCCTCTGGGTACTTTAGTCTGTAACAGCTCCTCAGTCTTTCTTTCATGGTAAGTGACATTTTTTAAAGACAGCAAAACAGTTATTTTTAGAATGTTCTTTACTTTGGTTTATCTGTTATTTCCTAGAGATTAAATGTGGGTTATGCATTTTTTTTTTGACCTCCAAAGTAATGTTTTCTTCTGGGTGTATTACACACAGAGGTATGTGATACCATGTTATCCCATTATCTGCAGTAACTTTGTTTAAATTTCCATTGATGTAAAGTCAGTGCTATTCACTTGATTGGCTTTTAAGAAGATTTTAAAATCATATTTAGGTGGTTATGAAAGTAATGTTGGTGTGTCCTTCTGTTTTGAATGTGACCTATTAATGAGCGTCGGGCTGTCTGACATAGGAGTTTACTGTATGTGTATATTCTCATTAAGATGGAGGACGTCTCTTTCCCAAGTGGAGGGAATACCAGTGGTGTGAATTCGGCCTCTTCTAAAACAGATACGGGTCGCGGGAATGGACCCCTCCCTCTAGGGGGTACTGGTTTAATGGAAGAGATGAGTGCCCTGCTGGCCAGGAGGTGAGTGAGAAGCGCACAGGCATGTCCAGACAGACAGGATTTTGTTAACTTTATTCCAAATACGACTTAGCTAAGTGAAAGTTCTTCCCTTTCGGAGAAACAGCTTTTGTGCTAAGAGTTAAATGATTTTTTTAAATCGGTTTACCTTCTTTTTAGGAGAAGGATTGCTGAAAAGGGATCAGCAATAGAAACAGAACAAAAAGAGGACAAAAATGTAAGTTAACAAAGATAGTCTGCTGCCCTTGAAATGTGACATTCAGGACAAGGTAGTTAGGAAGTTATTTAAAGATCAGTTTGAATTTCATCTGAGTTACAGTGACTTATTTTACACTCTAGATATTTAAAGTGTGGCGTATTTGGAGGATCACTTGTAAATCTTTCATGGCACTTATTAAAATGGGGTGAAAGTGTGGAGTTGTGTCTGGCGGAAGCACTGAAGGTCGCGTCTGGGGTTTCCGTGCCTAAATCTCCCGCCGCAGGGGCTTTCACTAGTTCGTATGTTTTGTTTTTAATTCTCGAGGGCCACAGTGCCTTTGCATTTAAAATGGGGGAGTTGGGCAGCGGCATCAGCAGTGAGGCTTCTCCAGGGCTCTGCTTCACTGCTTGCTGCGCCCTGCGAGTCAGCCTGCACACGCCCTCCTCGGTGCAGCTGGGCAGACTCCGCCTTCCCTCTCCTAAATCCTGGTGCTTAGAAAACAGTGATTTCTTTTCCTTGGTATTTTGTCCTTCTCTGATACTGTTTCTCAAATCCGATCCTTACGTGGGTCTTATAACATTGGCTGCTGTTTTTCTCGGTGAGAACCCATGCAGAAAGGAGCTCTGGGGGCAAGGTGGGGTGATGGGGCAGTAAGGAAGTCTGGACAGAGCAGGAGGGGGGGACAGGAGAAAGGAAATGGGGGTGGCGGGAAGAGCGTTGCAAGTGGACTGCAGACAACGCAAGTTCCTGGTAGAGCTGATTGTTTTTTCCCTTTTCTGTGATTTAGGAAGATGCGGAGGCTGTAACTGGGAAGGTCTCTTCAACAAGTACTCCTGGTAAGCCCTTTTTGTTTTTTCTTCTGAGTAGGACACAGCGAGTTTACATGACCTTCTCTAGAAGTCTTGTAATTTGTGACCCGCTTTCTTTAGTTCTGTCCTCCGTGAGCCAGAATGAGTTATACATGCGTCATTACAACTACAGCTGTTTTAGAATTCAGCTATGGCTTAGGGTCACATAACCTTTTAGAATTTGAAAAGAACTGTGGTTTTCCTCAATGAGGGGGAAATCATATTTTTATACAGATTTGTTCATAATTTCAAATTATTCTAGAATTCTCTGGAGGTTGTCTGTAAGCTGCAAGTTAAGAATTCCTCGTCTCATGCACGGCCCCTTATTTAAAATGTAGACAACAGAAGCATGACTGTTGCATGTGTTTGTGTGTTTGCTTCATATAAAATCAAGGATTGATTTGGGCTGGGGCTTCTTTCTTCACATTTGTTCCAGTCGAGTTTGGATTAGAATTTTTATCTTTGTTTTCTTGATTGGCATTCTGTCAGACCCCCGGCAGAAAAGCAACGTGAAGGCCAAAGGCACTCTTCACACCAGAAGCTCGCAGTCAGTCTGGGGAGAAGCCAGGCAGGCGGGAGTCCGCTTGCGCAGCCTCGCTTTCGGTTAAATAAACGTGTCGAGGAGGGGG